GCGGGGGTGGGGGGGTGGGGGGGGGGTCGTCAGCAGTTTTGCCGAAAACGTTATGAAAGACGGAATGGCGAACAAAGCCAGTGAACGATGCAATTGCTTGTTTGGCGTGTGAAGACAATGAGACCGGCTTTCGGCAGCGGCATCAGTTGTATTTGGGTTTGTTCAAGCTTGAGGCAAAAAAAACTCGGACTAATTAATTATCGAGCACCCGATTACCCGAAGAATCCATACTTTCTTTTCTTTTCCTATTAATAGGAACATGACTGCAAAATGTACCAAAATGTTCTTGATGTGCTACAGCAGTATTGGCGTCGTCAAGACGGGTCACTCCCGTGTTAAAAGAAAACAATCGACCGCAAAAGGGTTCAGCCCTGGACAGACCAGGCGCGGACGATGCCGAGAAACACGTGGGCTAGCCTGCAAGCTCCAGTTGCCGTGAAAATACTCTCTTGTGAGAGCCGGAACAGAACTTGGCGCTCTGTGTGAAAGTGTTCAACACATTTTCTGAGAACCTGTGTTTCTCACTGGTGTCTTGCGGAGACCCAACGTCCAACCACTACTGCTGCTGGTTCGCTTCGCCTGCTGTTGCCGGGATGCACCTCGGGACACGAGTTGAATCGACAAGACAGCACGATGGATTCACCAGCTCAAAGGCTAGGGATATTGTGGGGGTGCGGCGTGAGGCTGTCGAACGCTCTCCTCTCACCAGGCAGGCGAGCGAGCGGCTCATGCGTAAGTACAACATTTACTACGCTGTGAAACGAAAACCAGTGTACACGGTGTCTCCCCCCTACTAACGACAATGCCCAGGTCTCGGTATCCCACAGTCAACTCACCGGTCGAGGTATGCTCTGTAGGTGACGCGGCGATGGGGGAAACAGAAAGTCAACTCACAGAGAGCAGGAGTGTGTACAGCAGTGTACAGGTGTGGCCGCGCGGCGAGATTCATTCGCTCCGGCTGCCAGGGGACGCGCGAAGCAAGTACAGGTCCCTAAAAATCATTGTGCTGAGCCCCCCCCAACCTTCGAGGCCGCAGCCTGCTCTGCCTTGTTGCTGCTGTTTGTGGTTGGATCAACAGCACTGGCAACCCTAGAAGCGCCCATGAAGAAGCCGAGAGGGTACATGAGAGAAGCAAACCAAGAAATCGGTTAGCCCACCGGGCACCTCTTCTCCCTTCGATGCTGCAGCGCCATAGAAACAGCAAAGCCAACAGCAACCGGAATCAAGGCAAAGATGTCTCTACAGCAGCAGCGGCGGCGGCGGCGGCGGGGCGACGAACGCGAAAGATAGCAACCATAGGCCGCAGGAAACTTTGGATTGTGGTCACCTCCTTCATTGGCTGCTGCTTCTGCATGTGGCTTCTCTTTTCCTTGTACGTCGCGAGCTCCTCGGAGCAGTCGGAAGCGAGGCGTGCGGTTCGTTCCGGCGATGTCCTGGACTTCCAAGGCATCACGCGAACGAACAGCAACGACACCGACAGCGGCAAACCTCGGATAGCGATCATATCGAACGCCGTGGCCTTCCCGTTTGGGTCGGCTACGACGGCGCACTGGAGCCTCTTTAAGGAGTACTTTGCCAACAAGGACTGCTACGCGAACACCCATGGCTACGACCTCATCATCGACTCCAGGTCAGCCAGCAGACTTGAGCGGAATGATGATTTTTGAATCTTGCTCTGTTCTCCGCGCACAGCGCACATCAGTTCGTCCGTACTGCTGGTGTAGTGGAACAAGGTGTGTGGTGCACACTGGCTGTATAGACGAGATGAGATGATAGACCAAAGAGACAGACTTCCAACAGATCCGCTTGCTGTATGGGCGAGACAAGATGAGATTGTAGTCCGAAGAAACAGACATACAGACATCAAACATGATCCACCCGACCGGCAGCAGCCAGTCTCCCCCCCCCCCCGGGCCTCATCCCTGCTGCTGTTGACACGGAATGTTAAATGTTTGGTCAGTCGGTTTCGGTGTTGGATCGTGCATGGTGGAGTGATTTTCCACCAACAACGCTGCTGCTGTTGCCACAAGGCTGAGAGCTTGCTCATTCCTCCCCCCAAGACCAGACTACGGTCAGTGCTACATATTAAAGCACTCAAGAGCTTGGCAGCTAGAAACATGGGTGCCATTTTTGAGCTCGGTTGCGAACCCCATACGCTAAATAAAAACTATACACTGCTGCACGGCGGCCATTCGTAGCTTAACCCTAGGAACTATGTATGAACCCCACCCTCGTCCAATAGTCCAATAGTGTAGAGGTTCTCGAGTTTGGACGCTAACTGTAGACCATAACCTAGATTGATGTGCACGTTGCTTCTGCCAGGAACCATGTGAACGGGATGGGTTTCTACACCGACGAGAACGGGCACAGAGGCGGCACGAACGTGCACTTCAACAAGCCCTACCTCATCCGCAAGTGGCTGCCGCACTACGACTGGGTGCTGTGGCTAGACATGGACGCTCTGGTCGTGGACCTCGCGAAACCGATCGAGAAGTTCATCGAAGAGGTCGGAGGGCAGGTATGCAACAAAGCGAGAGGGATCGGAGGCCCTCGTGAGCCGTAGCGCCTGCCTCCTTGTGACCAACAACACGCATGTAGTCGTCTACCGTGCGATTGATTCTTCCACCCGCTGCTCAGGTGCCCAGACCCCTCTCTTGGGGGGCGAGTTGCTCTTGGGGTTTACTCCGTAATAGGCGGAGAGTTGGCACCCCCCCCCAAGACCGATTACTAAAGCTCGATTGCTGCACAACCAAGCGCGCGCCATCACCGACAACGGTGGTTTTTGAAGGCATCTTCGTGGAGGGCTTTCCGTAGACGTATCGGGCTCTTTCCGCACATCCAGGGGGTGCCTGCCATTTCTGCTCCTCTTACGGTATTCCCATCCCGTAGTCGCGTGCAAGCAAAAGGTGTATTAGTATCCCGAGAGACATACAGCAGCACCGTGTTGACGGTGTAAAGTGGCGCTCCTTGCTGTAGTGTAGAGCGTGCTCGCGAACACCGTTCGTCTTCTTTCTTGACGTCCCACCCGGCCGGTGGTTCTAACGAAAAATGCTGGAAGCACTTCATGGGCCCATCACCGGTTCCGCGGGCATGAGTCACGGCGTTACGCTGGCACGACAACAGTTCAGATCCGCGTTGTTGTGAGGCCTACCGCCTCAGCATCATGACATGCCCACGCCTTTGGGGTCGGGGCCGGGGGACAAAACCCACATTGGGATGCCTGTTTGTGACCAAAACAAGTCCGGCGTGAAAGTTTCGTTTAGGCCCTTCTTCCATCCGTGAGTTTTTTTCTCCTTCCCGCCTTCTCCCGGTCGCTCCGTTTATGGGCCTCTTTGTTCTGCTTGCATCTGCTTGCATCTTGACACCTTGGCCAGGATGGCGACATTCACGTCCTTGTGCCCCAAGACCAGAACGTGCAGTTCTTCTTTAGCGCTTGCTCCCTGCTCTTGCGCAACAGCCCGGAAACTATGGATATGGTGAGGAGGTTTTTTTTCTGGGGAGGGGGTGTACTCATGTAAACGCATGCCGGAGTCGTTAGACCATTGACCTCGCATCCGTACAATGCCGGGACGGAGCGATATGCCGGGTTTTCGCCGGCCCAGGCTACAGCAGTACGGGTCACAAAGATGAACCAGAATCTGGCCATCATCCCTCCGTTTGCTGTGCCAAACCAGATATGCCATGGAGAGGCGGGCGGGGGGCGGAAGGCGGGTCGCATTAGTGGATCATTTCTCTTCTCGGCGTGGCAGTACGTGCCGAACACCGAGTGGAACGCTCCTCTCTTTGTCTGGTGTTGAACAAAAAAGAAAGAGGGGGGAGGGGTGGGGATGGCAACGGTGAAGATGGGTGTTTTAAGTTTGGTGCGCCTTTGTCAGTGCCTAGATTAAGGTTTTTCATTTTGGTGCGGCTTTGTCTGTCTGTCCCTAGATTAAGCTTTACAGTAGTTGTGGCTTGTCTGTCTCTTTCCGTGTAGTACCCCACTGGAAGCCGCCGCATACAAAGCCGGTGGGTGTCCCGCCTGAGATGGCCTTGCCTTTCTTGACTCCCGCGCACACGAACAAGCTAGTGAGGTTTGTATAACCCGACAGTGCGCCGGTCTGCGGGGGCTCGAATGTCCGTGTTTGCGCTGCGCCGACAGGTAGAAGACTGGTTTACTCTCAAGGACACGTGCCCGTACGCGATGTACGACGACCAGAGCCGGCTCTACGCGGCCATCCTGAGAATGCAGCTCAGGTGTGCACCCATGGATATTTGTCTGCCCGCTCGAGACGATGCGCCCGAGATAATGGGTCTGCTGCGTTGCAGGACGGACCATGGGGTCGACGGTGGGACGTGTGCCCCCCCCTCCCCCCCCCCCCCCTGTATT